AGCGAAATAAACTTTGATTTAAAGAAAGTGATTTCGTAGGACATTGTTTAAAAATGAACTACTTCGTCCTCAAAAATGATAGATTGACTTGTATGGCATTCAAACTGCTATAAAAGGGTATCCAAGCCGAAATTTTTCAGTCAAAGTAACTGTTTTGAAGGCTCTGTGAAGAGCTACCTTGGGTTCGCTCTGATCCATAGTAGGAAACTTCTCCTATCAATGGACAGTCTATTCTTCCCATTGTGTAGTCGTAGTAAAGATTTATTTCAGTCGGCGCACATTTTGGTCCCCCGGTGAAGTTGAATTCTGACAGCTTCTGTTGACACTTTATTAACGATTCGGTGTATTTACTAGCTTCAGTAAAAACAACAATAGCCTTTGTTGCTAATTCTGGTACTTTCATGCGAATCAGATCACGTAGCATGAAACCGGTTTGGTCTTGAGTTATCAAGGCTTCGAATGTTGTTGGCATATCCAGTGGCTCATACGTTGGCACCTTGAATGTTGCCAATAGCCACTGATCAGGTCGCTCCAAATCAAGTACATTTGGATCATCATCTTGGACGTATTTATTAGCTAATGCTTTCCATATCCCCTCGTACAGTTTGGCATATTCAACCTGTCCACTCTTTCCCGGGTCAATCATTCTACAGATTATATGCTCCTCCAATGCTGTGAATGGTGCGCGTAGGTTACGAAAGGCAAGTTTAAATTCAGTCTCAGAGATCACATCCTCTCCGTACAAAGACATAAATTTTAAGTAACGTTTCTCATTTTTGTTGTACCAATCGTCAACACGATCAACAAAGTTTTGAAAGTCTGTGATTTGCTCCATGTAGAGGGCCATCTCCTTGTCAAATTGCCGTGCATCCTTGCGAGTGAGCTTTTCTATTTTATTTAGAAATTTTCGGGATTTCGGTGGCATCTATGTGCCTCGACCGGTGCCATGTGCCACTCCTATCGATTTGAGCAACTTGAATGCTAAGGAGGCAAAGGCACTAGAAATGTCACTTTCTCGATAACCCTCAATTTTCGCAAACTATTCCAACAATTTTCTATTTTTACTTTGCTATTTTCATCCCAAGGCATTTAGGTAAAGGTCGACAATTGAATCCCCTCTGCACTCTCCGCGAAGGCGGTCAGTTGCGTTTGGATGTCCTAATGATGTCCATTGGGGCTAATTTGAGAACATGAGAAGGGATTGAGATCGTTGGCTTGGTCACTACGTTAATCCACTGCGACTGATAGACCTTTAAGTCCCTTTCTTTCAGCTCTTCGTGCCACTTTTAGCAAAATGCAGTGCAATTAGGGCGATATTTGACGCCGTCGTCAATAAGCCTTTTGGACAGTTCCAGTGTTTCTGCCTTGAGAGCATCACGCGGGTCTATGCCTGGACGCTGAGCGCTGCATAGTGTTTAGGCATAGCTGCAGGGTACCGCGACTTCCCTTAAGGGCGAGAAAAAGTGGCAATGCATGAACAGAAGGGCCTCAGGACTGTTGACACGGCTCGGAGGTCAGCTGGGCTTGATTTTTCGCAACCATAACAACAAAAATTCATTATAGCGACATATCTCTTACCTGGGTCGACGACTTCGACCCGAATCCTTGATGGAGCGGTGGAGGGCAGTCACCATTTTACTATCCAAATTAGGTGTTACTTGGTCTGGACGTTCATCCCAGTGCAAGAAGGAGTCTTGCTGTTCGCACTATGTGTGTCCACAGGCAGACGTTGTGTAACACCGGTCCGAAAGCACATTTATGAAAGGAAGTACCTAATTTGACATAAACTCCACTGAAATATGATGTCTTCCTCATTATGAGCACTTCTTTCGCCTTGCTCATATGCGCCTTCCCTTGTCACCAGTAGACGACACAAAAATGGAGTCAGAGTTCTTGGCACGACTCATTGTTTAAACATTCTAACCAGGTCTACTTAAAAAGTACTTTAAACTGCATAATAATAATTAAAATGGGATAGATTTCACTTTCTCGCCTTTTTTCTTTCACCTTACACCCTCCACATGGCGAGATCAATCCCAACTGGA